TCAATAAATTGTTATTTGATTTTTTATATTCCCATATACCTATAGTAGCATCTACCATAATAATTATAGGAACAGATCTTACTATAGTTTTAGTTGTTAAACTACTATTATCATTATTGGCATTAGCATTAGCATTCTCAGAAGCAATATCACTTGGTGTACTATTAGGATTTGGGATTCAATGTGGCAGTTAAAGTTATAATTATTAGTGGTTTGTTGGATAGTGACAATGATATACATGAGATGGTAATTAGCTAATTACCGTAAATATGTAATTCATAATTAACGTAATTAATTACCACTTTTACTCTTTAAAAATGTAATTATGTAATTAATTATGGGTGACGAATTAATTACTATTGTGAAAATTTTCTATGCAAACCGTTGTTAACACTACGTGGGTTGTACAAAAAAGTTTTGAGAAAATGCATGTAAGACAGAGTTCCCATCTTTCAAATAAAAAAGGCAAATATTTTTTTGATTGCTAATTATTGAGATATTAAATTTTGAAGATTAACAACAAAACAACTGGAAATTTTTTGTCATAAGGTACTTGATGATTTTAAGTGTGATAAATTTGAAATTCTTTTATATAAGTAACATTCTTCGCATCTTTCAAATAAAAAAAAGTTTACTTTCTTTTATCAGTTAGTTATTGAGATATTGAATTTTAAAAATTATCAATATGTGGGACCATTTTTTACAAATTTTAATTCATTACGTAAACTAATTAAATCATCAACTTTTGGAATGTTTTCAAGGGTGAAAGTTTCTTGAAGTTGTATTTTCTCAAAACTTTTTGTACAACCCACGTATATCGTGATTGAGTTGTACGATGGACTATGTAGATCAAAACTAATTAACATCATGTATAAAATTTACCAATAACCTTTTTTTCAACAATTATAAAAATAAAAATTGCATCTTCTCATTCAAAAAAAAGATACAACTATAAAATTAAGAGATATTATAACAAATGTAATGGTCCACATGGCGACAGAGAGTTTTTTTAAATTTTATTAGTAAAATCATCCAAAATGTTAAAAAATACTGTTAAACTTTGAAACGTATAGGCTCAATAACCAAACAATATAGAGTAAAAAAATTTCCATAGTTTTTTTCTCTGTGATTCAAAGAATAGCCTGACAGAGAGTTTTTTAAAAATTATTAGTAAAAAAAAGTTTATTAAAGGATTAAAGGTGTACGATTTTATTAACAAAAAATTTTTCAGTAATCATTTCTTAAAGAAAACATAAAGTATCATAATAATAAGAATCGTAAGAAAAAGTCATCATGTTTAATAAAATACCAAAGCCCAATAAAAGAAAAGACTAATTCATAATGCATGTGCAGTCAAAAAAAATGAAAACTAATTCCTCAGAACCTTTACTCAAATTATTTGTTTATTCAAGTAAACCTTATTTGAATAGAAACCCTAACTGCTACTCAAGATATGATATTATTTTAGTAAGAGCTTTAGAAATATTTAACCAATAACTTAATTACAATATAAAGAGCTATTGGTTTATTAAACTAAGCCAATAATTAACTAAAAAAAGGATTAATTTTAAAAGAATATCTGATAAATATTGGCATTTTCAATATTTACTAATAGGCTTTTAGACTATATGACAAAAATATTATTAACTTATCAGTATGCTAATACCTTGATTATTTTTTAAAGAATAATCAGATTCTGATATTTGCTGTTACCCCCATTACTAAAGTTGATGTCTGTAACTGGTTAAAAATTCTCCAATGTAGGGGTGTTGCTGTTTTGGATTTTCCCTGAATTCAGAGTTTTGAGTCCCGGGTTGCTGTCTTGTTGGTGGCATGTCTACTCACCAACAACCCTACCTCAATTAAATAACAATTTCAGTTGGTCAAACAAAAATTAAAGAAAACAGAGTATTTATGAAAATTATTAATTTATATGTAACATACCTAAAGCTCCTCACAAGCCAAATAACTTAATAAGCTCTCAAGCCAGCTTGCAAGCTGGCTCATGTAAAGCCTTAAACATACCAAACAAAATCCGAACCATTTTTATGACTTTTTCTTGTTGGCCACATTGTATATAATCATGCAATAATTTTAATCTATACAACAGGGAACTGATTGGGCAAAAACCCAATCTAGTCCCCTATCCAAAATTATCAAATTGGTTAGAATCAAAAAAACAAAGAATTTAGGAAAGTGATTATACAAAACAAACACTATTTTACAGCTTTCCTCTTAACATCAGAGCCCAATGCAATTTCAGGGCCACAAACCCTGCTCTGAATTGTGACCTCCTGTGCTTGGAATGAGTTGCAGATTTTCTTAATATTCCTCCAGAGTTGCAACTTGATCACAGAGACATCCTTGCCCTAAAGTAGGGATCATTGCAGGCAACTTTTCGACCAGCATGTCAGCAGCCTTCTCTGGTCTGGGAGGATAGTGAAAGTGTCATTGATGATTGGTGCAGCCTCGGTAAACTCCAGGGCCTTGGGCTCCCCCCCTGGAATTCAGTTGCAACATTGTATCATCGGGGGCAGCGTGGTCAGATTAGCCTTTTGTACACAAGGAAGATGTGTGAATGACTGTAAAGTGTTCAAGGTAGCGTGCGTGCTTCAACACCTGCTATTTTCGATAATCAAACGTCACATACTCGAAATGTTTCTTTTTCAACGGTGTGCTGCCTTGACATCTTGTGATTATAATAATATTAATATTGATTACGAAAAGCAAAATATTATCAATGGAAATCTTGTAATTACCCAGCAAGATCTGCTCCACGTTTTGATTCCAATTAAAATATTTATAATAACCAAAAAAGAGTATCTCTGGTTTGTTATTAATACGTATTCTTTAGGAGACCCAAACCAAACCAAACAACAACACTCACGTTTTGTCACCTTGGACTCCGTCAAAAAATAAATTGTTTTTTGTTTTTTTTTGTTTTTTGTTTTTCCAAAAAAAAAAAAAAATCAATTCGCATCTGTCCTACCAAAAAAAAAACCAATAGGATAAATAATTAATGTGTACGCGTCAATCAAATCACAAACTTTTATTAAAAAAAAAAAAAAAGATGACTGTTGTTTCCGATAAAAAAAGAAGAAAATCACAAGGAAAAGATAAAGAACGACGCAAGTAAGTGTTTTAAGAATAAGGATGGTAGTGGTGGTTATCGCCCGCCACTCATCGTTACTCTAGTTTATTATTAATAAAACGCAATTAAGAGCTCTCATAGTTTGTGATTTTTTTTTGTGTTTTATTAGTCCTGAAAAAGTTATCAAAAAAATTAGAAACGATAATGAAAAGAAAGAAAATATTGTTGCAACAATAACCAAAAATTTTAAAAATAGTGAGGCTATTCTTATGGATAATTTGAAAAAAATACTAGCAATTGAACGTTTTTATATCCTTGATGATATATATATATTAAGGTCGCAATGTCATTCCATAAAGACATACGAAGCTAGCGATGAAGTTGTAGTTATAGTAAAGTTAAAAGGCAAAGAATTGAATAGTATTCCATTTTATAATCAATATGAAGAAGAAGAAGAAGTCGTATTGGCGGCTGATAGATTGATAACTTATTTTCCCAATGAAATATTATTGAAAATTTTAAGCTATTATTTTGAAATTTGATTTTAATTTCTTGATAGATTTTTTATAATTTGGAAAAATTTATAATATATTTAGAATAAAAACAAATATAATCAAGATGCAAAATTAAGATTTGTAATTTAAAAATTTTTCTAATTTATCCTCTTTATTATTGCTATTACCATCATCACCACCTATCAAAGTAAACTAAAAAATAAATGTTGAAATGATATTTGACCAAAGTATTTCGGAATTGATAAATTATTAATCAAAGCATTATCTTGTTTATTTGATTTACTTGATGGAAACCTTTAGTGAATTAGCTTGTTGAATTGATTTACCGAGTGCTCAACTTGTATAAAATGACACCGGGTGATTTTATGATTCTTTTCGTCAATTAAATACTTTTTCGATTTAATTACCTCTTGGCATTTTGATTCTGCTAATTCAAGTATTTTAGAAGATATGTATTTATGAAGATATTCCCAAATTTCCTTAGCAGTAGGACTATTTTCCGGCTTTAGATCCCAGCATTTCTTCATTAAATCAGCATAGAATTCAGGTGTGTTTTTAGTGATTCAGGTCTTTTATTTTCCAGTATGTTCAGAATTAGATGAGGATTATGTAAAATGGTTTCTTTCCTGTAGTATACTATAAACATATGATTATTTTGTATATGGTTTGCCTAATGATATTTCATTCAGGTGCCATGTATGGAATGACATCAAAGATCCATTTGTATTATCTTTTTTCTTTTAATTGTTGATGTGATCCTAAATCTCCTGTTTTACCATCCCAAACAGTATATGAAAA